ATTTGCAAATTTATTAATAAGATTAATAAAAAAATACAAAATATATTCGATTTTTCAACAGTGTGACTCGAGTGTCATCGCAGTGACTGTCATTGTAACTTGTTTGCCCGCGGCCGGACAATCGGGGGTCGTTTAAAAAAATAATATGTCGATAAACTCGACATAGAGTTCGAAGAGTTACCGAAATTTATCAGAGATTTGAATACTCTCGATAGGGGGGGGAAGGGGAAATAAAAACGGGAGGGTAGAGAGGGCCGATGAACGCGTTCCCCGCGAGCCGACAGGATATCCCGTAGGAACGACGACGAGCACGCGGGACACGCGGGGGTGAATTCGTGCTATGCCCGACATGTGAGCACGCATAGGGTCTCTCCACACCACCGGGTGTCGCGTTTCGGCGCGTGCTGTGCGTCAACGTACCGTGGAAACCGCATAGCGTCCGCCACGCTACATGAAAGTGCAACAGAGGGAGAGAGGAGAGAGGGAGAGAGAGAGAGAGAGAGAGATTGTTATTTCACCTCGTAAACCTTAAAAAAAAAGGACGAAAATGCCTGTAACCCTTAATTAGTCGCGTAATCCTTAATTAGAATTATAAAATTGTATATATAAAAGTTACAAAGTTGTAGGTTCTTTCTTTTTAACGAGCCCAACCCTATCGAAAATTTATTATATAAAATTTAAGTAAAAAAATGTGTGTAAAATTATTAGTTGTATAATTTTTATTAATCGAGATAGCCACGAATAATTCTCTTTACCTAGAAAAACTTTTTAATCTTTTTGTAAACAACTATTTTCAAGGAAATATTTCAAACTTTATTTAGAGCAGAAAGTAGAAAAGTGAGACAAACATTTCTCGCACAAATTTCATGGACACACACAAATAAGTAATATCTTTGATATCTTGAAATTTAAGAATTCAAAAATTCGTGTTTACGAGGACGACATGGTATTGATCGCGTTGTTAAAAACATAACGTAGCTCGTGGTAGCGATGTAACTTCGCGATAAGTCCGTGAGACAGGGAAACGACACAACCGTATCGATTCTTTTTTTTTTCATTATGTCCAGTGTGTATAAGAAGACACATGCGCGGCCGACGTAAGACCTACAGAACGATATCAAGCATCGATGTTGAGGAAAAACGACATTAATTATACGCATTTATTAGACGCATCGGATCCTTAAATTTCGATGAAATTTTATAATGTTTCACGAAAATATCTTAATTTATTTAGTTTTTTTTATTTATTTTAAATATTTTTTCGCGCGCGTATATGATTTAATTTAATTAAAATCCAAAAATTATCTCATATATCTTGAATCTAGAAACTACTTATTTAGAAATTTAGATCCCAGAAAATACGTATTGTTTTAAATTGTTTTAAACGATTAGAACTCTATTATTTTCAATCACTGGTTGAAAAATTTTTCAAGATGCATGGACATTACATGATTCAAAGAAGAACTTTATTATGCTCGAAATGAATGTTTGTAAATTATGGAGCTCCTTGAGAAATATAGAATACATTTGACGAAAGTAAATAGAAAGGTATGAGGAGCCTCGCGACTAATGCACCTGACCCCTTCATGTGACGATCGATAGCGACGACGATGGTGAATGCAATTAAACGCAAATGACATCCAGCACACGTTATAGTCATTACTAGATGAATTCGTGCACGAACAACAATAGCGGCATAATAAAGGCAATTTATAAAAGCGCAACGTTACGCTTGCCGATTGATCGCCATTTTAACGGCTATGAGCGAATTATTTCTAGTTTGAAGTGCCTCGGAAGACGTGGAAGACATCTTATATTTATTCTTAAGAAATTTATTTTCCTACAAATCAGATTAACTTTTTTCAATTTTCTTTATATATCTTTTCTAAATATGTAGTTTAAATTTAAATTTATATGAGTTACATATATTTTAATTTATATATATGAATCTAATTTCGTATTTTAATTTGGGGAGTTTATTAATATAATCTTAATTTTAATTTGATTCTAATTTTAATTTGATTCTAATTTCTAGAGATAATAATATTAATAAAATGTTTTTACATTTTTGTAAACTATAAATTAAAGACGCTATATGTAGTTATATTTCTACGCTTATTAGACTTATATAATGGGGTAGATTCAAGGGCTTCGCGAAATGTTTGCTGTTTGGATCCGCGAACGCGCTCTAACGAGACGGATTTTCTCGCGAGAGAGACGCGTGGGAAACAATAGAAGGAGAGGCTCTAATCTGAAGGGCACTGAATCGAGCCCTTCTTTTTCTTTAGTATTTTCTCACAATGATTCTTTGCTCCCGTGTTTCGCATTTCCTCTTCGCTCCCGGCCTTTTCCACCCTAAGAGAGTTTCGTACTACGAGGGGCTGTCGGTGGAACATTTACACCGTAGAGGGATATCCTCTTTCCTCTTTCCTCATTATATGTATATCTCGGTAAAGGATTGACAAAAAAGGGAGAGAGAGAGAGAGAGAAAGAAAGAGATAGAGAGATGAAGAAAAACAATGAAAGGTAAAAAAAAACAAGAAATAATTTTTGTTTTTCTTAAAGCTTCTTAGCAAAGACGCTTTTATATCACGAATTATCCTTGTGAACTTATTAATTTTAATGCCAAATTTTGTGATAAATTTAAAGCCGCGAAAGGGAATAATGATTAAAAATTCTATGATTGATTAAACTTTTTAGTTCCATAAACTCAGTTTCACGAAAAAAATATTTGTCAGCTTCGCAGATGGATAGCAGTTTAATAGAATTTTAACTTGAAGTTTAGAAAATTACGAAAACACATAAAACGACGATATTTTCATTGAAAAAAATCGATTCAAAGTTTATCGGATTTGTCGAAATTAACGTAAGGACATTAATGAATATAAAATCCGTTGTATATATAACTGCAAAAAAGATCCTAAATCTTAATCCTAATCGTAGCTTCTCGAAAATCAATCTCCAAATGCATCTCCCATTCGATCGCGAGGATCATTCCGCCTTCCGCGATCATGCTCGAGTGACACGAAAATGGAGAAAGTCCCGCGCGGTGATTCCAGCGGTCGGGAAGAGAATGGTCCTCGGAAGAGGTGGAGGAGACGGGGGGGAGGACGACGGCGTGGCGAACATGGCGGCTCCGGAAAGCGAGACGAAGCCGTGCCGAGGTCGCGCGCGGCTGCGCCGCGACGCCGTCGTCGTCGTCGTCGTCGTCGACGTCGACGGCGACGGCGACGGCGACCGCGTGACCGCCGCCGCGCTCGGCGATCAATACCTGGACGCAGGCGGCGAGCGCCGCGACGCCGAGCGCCGCGACGCCGAGCGCCGCCGCATCGCGCCGCGCCGCGAACGAAGGATGTTGAATTCGAAAAGTGTTATTCCGCGCGTCTATCTCTGAATGATATGGAAGGGAACGCCTCTCCCACGTGGGTCAGCCACGTGTGCGCTTCCGCTGTCCGCGCGCGCGCTCCGCGCGGATCTTTTGCGCGCGTACGTCTCCCCAAAACACGTCCCGCGTGTCATTTAGCGCCGCGTCCTTTTTTCCTCCCCCGGAATCCGCTTAATAACGTTCGACCCGTCATCGTCGCGGTTTCTTTCACCGCTTTGCGCATTTCATTATTTTATATATCGATATCTCGTCTCTATAGATTTCGCTATCCGACTGTCTATACTCGGAGTAATTTTTTTTCTACAGGCTATCAGAGTTTCGATTTGGTATAGGTATCTCGACACGTGTAATTAATGAATGTCTTTTTTAGCAGGGATTCAGAAGGATTCCGCGACACGCGTAAATGTGTTTTTTTTTAAAGCAATCAGATTTTTAGAGAGCTTAATAAATCATTTTTTGGGATTCATAAGTGGACCAAGAAAGCGTTGTCTTTTTGTTTTCGAATTTAAACACCTTATCATAATTCAATTATGAGTTTGATTCTGTTGATTTTAGAAGAAGTTTAATCAATGTAAGTAACTTGGCTGTTCTTTTCTAAGCTCGTTCCAGTAGAGCGTTATCAGGTAGGGTGTAGTTTATTTTGAATCGAAGGATATCTCTGGGAAGAAGAGGAGGAGAAGGCTCTTTACAACGCGCGGTCTATCAGGTGCAATGTTTCACGCGGAAAATTTCTAACGCGGAGATACAAGTCTCTATAATTATTCTGAATGTATTTTGAAAAGTGCAATTTTTTTATCTCGCAAATTCTCGTCTCACAACTAATATCGTTTAATTAATAAATGTTGAAAGAAAAATCAAGTTTAACGTCGCAATCTCGATTTTTTCGCACCCTCGATATTATCTTCAGTCTGAAACAATCTCAACTCGACCGCTTCAAAGCGTGACATCAAACACGTATTTTTTCTTAAAGCTAAAAGAACGATTTTAAAAGGACAAAATGTTGTAAATGCAAACGGTATCCAAAGAGTCTGGCGATCGTCGATCGCGGATCGATGCCGAGGACGCACAGGACGAGAACACAGGCGAGCAGCGAGACACGTGTGTATGTGAAGCGTGAGACACAACGTGTTTGTGACGTTTATACGTGTTTATGTACTACATGCGAGAGACTCACACGACGACAAGACGACTACGACGACGACGACGACAAGACGACGACGACGACAAGACGACGACGACGACGACGACGACGACGACGACGACGACGACGACGACGACGACGACGACGACGACGACGACGACGACGACGACGACGACGACGACGACGACGATGACGACGACGACGACGACGACGACGACGACGACGACGACGACGACGACAACGACAATGACGATGAAGGCGACGACGATGACGACGACGATATAATGTCGGTCTGAGAGCCCGGGTTCTTTTCTTTCTTTTCTTACAGAAACGAAAAGAACGCGAAATACACACGATATAGAAAAGTGGGATAGTGTAATTTCGAGTAATTTGAGTGGTTCGTGGGGAGGGGGGGGCTTTATTGATATGAAAACGTGATAAACGAGGAGAAAGTGTCTCGCGCGGACAACTAACCTGCTAGCCGCAAGGCCGACATTCTCTGAAACTCGGGTTCCTGCAGCCACTTCCACATCCGCCGGAAGGTCTCGCGGCCGCTCTTGAGCTTGGACCAGGGTTTCGGGTTGCGCAGCAAGTCGCTGAGGGTACCCTGGCTGCGACACAGCACCCGCTGCGCAAAGATCGCCTGTGGTATGCTGTACCTCTTGAGCTCGGCGCTGATCCGCTGCGCGAGCTCCTTCGTGTTAATCTCCTCGACCTCGCCGGCACCGCCGTTACTCGCCGTGGACACCGTCTTCATCACCACCGACGTGTGTTGCACGTGTTGCGTGTGCGCGATCGTTTGCTGCTGCTGCTGCTGCTGCTGCTGCGACATGGATTGTTGCTGCTGCTGCTGCTGCTGCTGTTGCTGCTGTTGCTGCTGCTGCTGCAGCTGGGTCTGCATCGTCGGGGGCGGCGACGCCGCGCTCGGCACCGAGTGCGTGCCGGGCGGCGAGTGATGCGATGGCGCGAAACTCGCGGTCGCCGTGACAGCCGGCGGCGAGGACGGGCTGAGCGCCGCCGGACTCTGCTGCAACCGTGGCAAAAACGCCGGATCGTAATGCGGACTCGCGGACGATTTGTGCGGCGAGTTAAGGCCGCTCTGGCTGTAAGCGCTCTGCGGCGACAACGGGCTCGGTTGGAGACCCGCTCCCGGCGACGGATAATTGTGCGGCGGCGACATGCCCATCGAGGGTAATTTGTCATACGCGTACGGCGAGCCGCCCATCCCGAGGCCGATGTTACCCAGGCCGTTGTTCTGCATGACGGCGAAGCTGCCGGTGACGCCGCCGGCCGCGTGACCGCCGTAAACGAACTTGTCGCTCATGGTCGAGATCGGCGGTAACGGCTGCAGCGGCGTCAACGTGGCGTACGACGAGCCCGGACTGAAGCCAGGCGGCGACATCCTCTCGGCCACCGAGGTGAGGGTCTGATACGTCGGCTCCGGCTGCATCGCCCTGAAGTCCGTCGCGTCGATCATGCTCGCGACCGACACGCTTATCCCGGACGTAGGCGTTAGCTTGCCCGGACTGAGGAGCTCCGAGTCGTCGGCGTCGCGCGAGTCCACGTCCACGTCCTGAGGCGGCACGATCACCGACAGGGACTCCCGCGCGCTCTGCCTGCCACCGTCGCCACTACTACTACTACCACCAACGCTGCTGCCGCCGTTACCACCGTTGCCGTTGCCGTTGCCGTTGCTGTTGCCGCCAGCGACGGCGCGTCCGTCGCCGTCGTTGCCTCCGATTGCGCCGCCACCGCCACCGCCGCCACCGCCGCCGCCGCCGCCGCCGCCACCACTATCACCGACGCTCGGCGGATCCTGGGACGACGACAGGTCCTCCGCGGCGGCGAGGTCTCGCTCCTCCTTGACGCCGAGCGCGCCAGCCGCGTGCAGTTCCAGCGGTAGGCTCGCGCACGCGATGTCGGGGCTTTGAGAGGCCGACGAAGACATACCCTCGACGCTACCTCCTCCGTTACCACCACCACCCATTCGAGCCGCCCCCACCGCCCCGGCCATGCGTAGACACAGCCGCCGGGGAATCGACCGAGTCCAGTAATTGCTCGCTATGCGATTGACGATCGCCTATGTCCCCTATACCTTCCATTTACGCACATCTAGTTCGGTAGTTCGGGCGCCCTGCCACTCGCCACTCGCCACTCGCCACTCGCCACTCGCCACTCGTTTCTTCGCCGACGACGACGACGGCGACGACGACGACGACGGCGACGGCGACGACGACGACGACGACGACCCCGACGACGACGACGACGACGATACGACGCACTGCACCGCACCGCACCGCACCGCACCGCCCCGTACCGTATCGCACTCGCCGCTTTTTATTTACGTCGACGAAACTGTCTGTTCGGGAAAGGGGAGCGACGTCCTTTCTCCTGGTCACCACCGGTCTCGCCGTCACTGATTACCGCACGACCGCGAGCGACGACGCGCGCGATTTTCCCGGCGAGTACTTTGCCAAGACGACGACGATGCTGCACCGCGACGTCGGAAGGAAGTCGACATGGGAAGTATCCGGTGGTAGCGCAACGACCACCATGCGCCCATGACACCGCACGAGTACGGAGCGAGTGAGAGCGCACGCTCCCTGCGCTCGCGCGTCCGAGTGCGAACGCACCGGTGCTACCGGCTCTATTCCTAATGGAAGAAACGAAGAAAGAGAGAGAGAGAGAGAGAGAGAGAAGGAGAGCCGCAAGCGGGCCCAGAAGCGAAGGGGGTCGGATCTCGCTTTCCGTCTCGCTCTCCTCCTCCCCGCTTCCTCCCTCTAACGGTTCCTACCCCGAATATCTCGCGGCTCACACTACCGGCACAACCGCCATCTGGTCTCCGTTCTACTACTGTTGTACTACTACTACAATACTACTGTTATTCCGCTCACGCGCTTCTTCGTGTCGCGTGCCGCGAGTTCCTCTCCTGGTCCAGGTGCGACCGCGTCTCTGTCTTTCCCCTCCTCTTTCTCCTTTCCCCGCCACGTGTCAGTTTATTCGTTCGTTCGTTCACGGAGGGGAGTAATCGCTCACACGACACCGCCACCACCGCCGCCGCCACCACCACCACCGTTGTCACTATCACTGCACCAGCACATCGTCGTCGAAGCCGTTACTGTCGCGGGTACTTGCGCAGTGATGCTCCTGGCACCTTTTCTCCGCGCGGCGGACAAGAGTCTATCGTCCACGTGAAAGAGAGATGCCGGAGACGACGGTGACACCCGTTACTTTGGTTCGCGCGCAACGTCAGACTTCATTCACCATCGGAAGATAGACTCGACGATCGCGATCGTCTTCCGCTTTTCTCTCCGCGATACTCGAGAAGAGGTTATCGCGGTATAACCTTTTGACGGCGCGACAAGGATAACCTCGCGGGTAGAGCGCCAAAAGTAACGAGAACCACTAAGCGGCTAAGCCACCACCATCAGAGCGACGCGTAACTAGGGGTGTGTAGGTGACACGGACGTCTCACCCGCTTCCACCAGCACTGCCACCTCCAACTACAACGCCGCCGCCGCCGCCGCCGACGTCGCCGCCGCTGGCGTCAGTCAGCTTTCTATCGATTTTCCGATACCTCGTGACCAACGTAGTTCGATGCGCGCAGCCGATACTTCGAGCATAAACATCGACTCGCGTCACCTGCGCCCGCCACGACCTCGACCCAGCGATATTAGCCAACTAACTAACGAGACTGCTCTCCTCTCGATTCGATTCGCGATCGTCGTCTGTCTCTAGTAAAGAAGCTGCTTGCGGGAAGCATCGCGAGTACACTGCGAGATCTTTCCTTGAGAGACACTTTGGACATTTTTCTTCAGGATGCAATTGCCTTCCTTGCGCGATTCATTACGATTCAAAGTCGTAAATTGCCGGCAAACTTGAGCCTTTCCCCCTCAAACGGAGTCGTTGACGTAACAGTTTTTCATTGTAACTTACTTTGCACTTTCTTCTCTTCTCTCGCCGAAAATCGGTCCCGCGATCGATGAGACTGTTCGAGGTTGATTGGTCGATCATCGAATCGATTCTACCCGATGCGGCCCGCAATTTTCATCGCGCGCGCGCGCGCGCGCGCAGTCCGACAGTCTTCGAAACCGCAGAAACCGATTATCCAGCTTCTTCTTCCACTTTAGGATCGAAACGTCGATACGCCGATAAGGTGCGCATCATCCTCCATGACTATTCCGAACTGTTTCCAAGATGTCGTCCTTCTCCCGTGGAGACTGCGAGAACGAACGATCTGCAAGATAACTTGATCGAGCGACACGGAATCCGCGCGCACACGTACACACACCGGCGTCCACAAAGGGGTGGCCGAGAGAAGAAGAGGGGTCGCTGACGATTGGTCGTGGTTGGCGTCGATACGGAGATCAATGGCCGCCCGCTATAGAAAGAGGGAGAGAGAGAGCGAGGGACTCTACGGCCGCGCGCTTTCGATCGATCGGCTTCGACGGCTTCGTTCGATGGCGCACGACCTCGGCGATGAAGGGAGACGGATCCTTGGCGAGACGACCGATCCTCGACTTCGATATCCGCGACTCGCCGATGCGAAACTCGCGCGCGCACGCTTAGAAGCGCGCCGCGCCACGATGCGCCGTCCTCCTTCCTCCTTCTCTTTCTCTCCCCTATCTCTTCGCACCCCTCGAAGCACCCGCTCCTCTCGACGTGGTCTTCGTGCTCCCGAATTCCGTCGCAGTTTGTCCCGAAACGCAAATTTCTTCCTGGAGAAATCGGCCGCTCTCCGGGCCTCTCCTCGAAGGATCGTCTCTCTCTTCTTCCTTCCCTTCTCGTCCCGCGATCTCGAGATGAAGAAGATACGGCAAGGATGCGCACGAGGTCAAATCGTGTGTGGTGTTGTTGGGAAACACGGAGAGAAAACGAGCGCGTCTCGCGCTCGCACGGAGTTGTGCGGAGTTGCGCAAATCGCGAATGCTACGCTACGCGAGAGCCTCCGACAGGAGGGTGCCGGTCTCGCTCTTTCTCCCTCGCTCTCTCTCCCGCTCTCTCTCTCTCTCTCTCGGGGCGAGACGGGGCCGACGAAGCTGAGGAGCGTACAAGAGGGGTGCGAGAGAGTGGACAGGCGGGCGGGGGGAGAGGGGCGGGGATCTCGCCACGGGGATCTGTAACGAACTCGATACGCAGGGGTCGCGAGGAGAGGAGACGAGTCAGTTTCGGGGGATGAAGGATGAAAGAGGACGCACAGGACGGAACGGGAACGAAGGCGAACGAGTCAGGGGTGGCCCAGGGACTACTCGACCGTATCCGGCACCCCCGAACAACGCGCGAGATATAGTTTCTCTCAATTAAGCGAGTCGGCTTCTGTCTCTAATGTATGGCTTCGCGTGCTTATTTTAGCTTTCCTTTTTTCGTCATTTTATTGATCGATAGTCCAATTTTGCTTGACCGTTTTTTATTCATCGAGCGGCGTCATCGATTCGTTTCTATTCGTTACACGTTTGATATCAGCGCATTATCAGCGCATTATATCGATCCGCCGATTGATTGACGTAGCTGTCACAATATCTGTCACGCTATCTTTCTATTATGTATTTGCGTGTTTGTTTAGCGGAAACTTATTTAATTATATTGCACATGTGTAAGAAGATGTAAACAAATTTTTTAATCGTGTAATCTCTTTGAATTTTTATGTAAATATTTTTATATAAATATTCTTTTTTTTTCAAAACTACTCTATGAATATTTATAGGAGGAAAAATTGCATCGATAAGTTGCATAAACATAAATGATAAAGCCCTCGTATTATCTTTTAATATCTCTTATCACTCTTAAATATAGCTTACAGCTTTTCCCTTCATTCTAGTTTCTTGAAATACTTTACATAAAAGAGCTTAATAGGGATTTTAAATAATATAAATAAAAAAAACTAAGATAAAATAATTATTAATACTAATCGATATTAATAATAAAAAGAACCATTAAAGTAAAAAATTTCTATTCAACTGTGGAAATAAGATATAAACGGAATGCGGATTTATACACTTATTAAAGGGCGGAATCTAGAACTGTATAAGTCATTGATGAAGGCGCTGGAAAATTATACGGTGCAAGAGTGATTCGCGGGCGCTTCGCATTGTTGCCCCGGACTGTTTGCTAAGTAGTTGCCAAGGAGTATAGTAGTACATACCTTGAAACAAGGAGACTTATGCCTGCGGGTTCGATCCGCGAGAGTGTGCGTCAGATACAACGCCGATGCGCCGCTCTACGACCGAGGTGGCCATTTACAATTCAATTCATCCGCGCAATTACAATACAGATGATTCACCTTCGATTCAATTCCACTTGCAACATTCTTTTGGAGGATCGCGACTTTGCTGCGACTCCAGATTCCGCGGCATCAAGTTCCCTAGAATGACAAGAATTTAGTATTATTTCAAGATTTAATTCGAAAAGTATTGCTTTCTCAAAAAGTAAATTAAAATTGTGTTTTAATTTATTTTCTGTTTTTCTCTATCATCTAAAATCGCAAGTTTCATTTATGTATACAAATTTCAATTAAATTCCAAGTATAATAAAAATATATTACATCGTAAAATATATATGTATAATTTAAAAATATATTAACTTATAATTAATATATTTATATTAGCTATAATAAATTAATAATAAAATAATATTGACCGTTGGTTTAAAATAATAATTAATATCGATGAACAGGGATGACCGACCAGCATTGACAAGGGAAGAGATTCGCTCCAAAAACCACTTCGCTGAGAGAGAAGCGATCGATCGCGCGATCGAGTATTTTTCAAGCGCTTTGGCGGCTTGATAAAATTTCGATAAACGCGCCAGCTGACACGTATTGCGAGTATCTCGATTCCGAGATTGAGATAAACTCGAGCGATAGAGAATGTAACGCATGTACGTGGGAGTCTTCGAATATCCTCCGTGGACGAAATCCATTTGAGTATCAACGACAAAGTAAAATCGATATCTCGGCGTTACCTTATATCCGGCGGTCGAGTCGAACAGAAAGAAACGGCGGATTAAAACGCAAGCGGATAAATTCGCCGCGTGATTAAAGCGCCGCGCCGGATTATTTCGATGCGAGAAAATAAATATTCAAAGGGGATGCGCGCGTGTAATATTCATACATCGAATATTATTGCCTCTGTAAAATCGCGCTCTTTATTTATTCCGAAACTTATTTTAGATTTTTTTTTATTTCAGTGTATATCTAATTGCTACTTGCGTATAAATTTACAAAAACAAATTGACGCGCCTAAAATATCCCCACGCACATGCATGTACAACACACTCACTTTTCTAACGAATATTTTAAAAATTATAGAAGATATTATGTAAATTATATAATAGAGTTTCCATATAAAATATACATATGTAAAAATGATTGTATTTTAAATTTCCTAAAATTCTGTTATCTATAACTTGTAAATTTAAGTTTGATTTTACACACATACCGTGCATGGAATAATTAATTTTATTTAGACATTGATAATATTAGGGCTCGCTAATGCCAAGATTTCACGGCCCTGGGGGGTAGTTTCTCGACACTGAAAGTGGGGATTCCCGCTGACGACAGAGCGAGGAGAAGGAGAGGGGTGACGGAGGGGGACAAGAGAGAGCTGCGATGTAACGTCGATATCGCGCTCTATACGAGGCGTCGCGACGCCGCGAGTGGGGCGCTCCGCGCGGCGCGGGGGCTCGAGGGGCGAAGGGGGGTAAGTTTCACATGAGTAAAATAATCGATAGCGGCGACCGATATGTATGTACCAGGCTGTATATACGCGCGCGCACATGCACTCGCGACCAACCCCCTGCACGTTTATGCTCGTGTGCGTGTGTGTGTGTGCGTACCGTGACACGCAGGCGCGCGTGTCGCACGAATTCACGCGCGTGAGATCGATGAACAGCGGCGGCATTATGTGGGCTTCGACGACGACATCGACTTTCTCGCGCAATCGTTGCTGTTGTTGTTGTTGTCGTTGTATATCGCAAAAATTTGCCATTTGCGTGATTTAAAAAACAGTTTCGAATCGAAGGAATGCGCGATGGAATTTCAACGATATCGAAATGAATCAGTCCTCTTGACACTTTTTCCTATTACTAAATTTAATCGGATATTTTTTGCACTCATCTTGAATTGATGTCAGAGTGTATCTATATGAACACGAAGTATCTACTTACTAAAATGGAAACATAAAAAATATATACATGTAAAACGTTGTAAAAGTGTAAATTTACTCGGCCTAAATATAGTTGCTTCAATCGCCAGATCTGTTCGTAAATAATAGCGTGCTCTTTTTAATGTTGCGACCCACTTTGCTATTTTACGATATTTTTACAATTTCCCCGAAATACCTGATAAATCGCGCTTTCTACGAGAAAATGAATTTTTCAAACAAATACATAAAAATAAGAATAAATAGATATATAAATAGATATATATATAATAAATAGAATTGCAGAGAAAGAGGGATAATTTTTCAATCGTATAATATATTCTTTTATAATTTATATGTCGCAAAATTAAAATTCATTAGAAACATATGATTTTTAAATTCAAGAATCAAGAAAAAAGTCGCGGTGATATAAGACGAGATTTTTTTCTCTATTCGACTTTGAGTGCAAAAATTTGTATCGATTAGCAACGGGCGATACAGCGAAATTCGATCCGCGCAAAAAGATCACCGCGAATAATTTTTGCGAATTAATGAGCTCTTGATGTATCGGTTTTCTCGCTCGTCGTCCCGCGGAATGCAATTAAATCGAAAGGGAGCCCGCGGCCTTCCTCGATATCGTGATATAATATGCAACGACCATTCCTCGGATTAATGCACTATTTCGCACGATGCTGCAATAAAGCGACATCTCGTTTAACGATATAGCTCGCTTTTTACAAGAATGTAACCCGCCAAACGTAGAACGCAGGTGCGTACTCGCGCGTTTTCCTTGTCGTCATCGAGAGCCATACTTTCTTTAGAAATCGATATCTATAATTATTTCATCACTCGCTTTGTGCATAGCATTACGCTCGCATTATGGGACTCTAGACTCGGTTAGACGTTCAAGAGAATTATTGTTAATTTTAAAAGTATTGCAACAAAAACCTCGTATAATTAATATATCATCTCTGTCATTTTTTCTTAAATTAAACAGATATATCTCACAACTCGAGAATATATAATTAAAAGTAACTAAATGTTGAAGATTAAAATTATATATTAAGAAAAATCGGTGACGTAATTATTGTAGAATTATATTTTTCATACTTTATTTCGATATATTTGAAAATAATATTAAAAAATAATCTAATAAACTAATATTTTAATACATGTATATTCAATATTGTTTAGATATATATGTGCATTCGAAATTGTATAGATATTAAAGATATAAATAGACAAAAAATATAAAACTATTCTCGATTGTATTAAAGATGTATCTCGTGGATTCTCTCCTTGGCCGATATTAGTTAGAGATTGTTACAAACATTTGTAGATTATAGACGTCAGACCGTCAGTATGAAAATGTAGATATGCTATTCCACGTAATTAACACAAACGACATACAGATGTATTCATTGCCGTAACTGGAGCAACGTATGCATACATACCTACATACGCGCATATACATATATATATATATATATATATATATATATATATATATATAATGCATAAGCGTTAATATATCAAAGACGTCAAAGCCTGTTTCCCTCTCTCTCTCTCTCTCTCTCTCCTTCTCTCTCTCTCTCTCTCTCTGTAATTTTTAAAACCTTTATTATAGTATATTCTTATATAAATACAAATATCAAAATAAAAGAAGAAAAATAATAAAAGAAATTATATATATTTTAGATTATTAAAAAAGATAGTTTTTGGCTTGCATAAGTTTGTATTACTCTCTTTCTCTCTATTTCATATTGTATTTATTTTGCTTCTTATTGTTAGTGATTATATATAAGAATATTATAATGATTAATTATTAATTTGTATAATTAAATCCGAACAGTAAATTAACAGAGAGAAGAAAGAGAATTATATATATTTAATTTATAATAAAAAATAATCTTTATTGATTTTACCGATAATTATACAAATGTAATTATTGACTCGCGTAGTTAAGCTCGAATATCTTTGGTATGAATGTGATTTATACTCTAGAGAAGAACATCGCTTCTTTCTATTCTGAAAATTTTTTATTTTAAAATTTCAATAATATATATGTAATATATATATTATTGATTATTATAATATATTAATAAAATCATCCAACTAAATCCACATTAACTTTTCACATACGTTCTAATATTGGGGAATTTCTCTCTCTAATTATATCCTAATATTAACTTATCGGAAATATCAGTACTTCTCGATTAATTAAATCATATTACTATACCTATAGGGTGCAATATATATAATTAAGTAAAATATATAATAGCTTTTATAATTCAATATAAACGCTGTTGATTTCATATTAAACGTTTAGACTGAAGAAAGACTACAAAACTTTGTTTCAGGCCTTTCTCTAAGTTTTCCAATTGACCTGCGAATTGTCGGGTCGCCGAAGAAGCAGTTGATCGGTTTTTTTGTTCTCTCTCTCTTTCTCTCATCAGCCAGTGGCCGACATGTGATCGCATGTGTGAGCGCGTATGATAGGGGCCGACAAGTTTAGGGCATTAACAGGGGAGTCGTGCAGCGGGAAATCCTCTTTGGATTCCCCCCCGTGATGGAGGAGCTCACCTGCCGCCAGGTGCGACTCCCAACTTCTTCGCCATCTGCATGAGGGGCCCCGTGCCATGACGCGGGGTTATTTCCTCTTTACTTTCCTGGATCGTGCGAGTGCGTGATTAATGCACGCGCAGTATATATCGTAAAACTTAGTACGACTATAGTTGCGGATATGTGTACGTCACCGGGGATGAGCATAATGATAACTAACTGGATATGTAAGGTTACTATCAAGTTAAATTTTTTTCTGAATGAACTTGAATAGAGAATAAAGTAAATAACAAAAAAACTCTACAAATATATACACGTATAATAGAATAATGATTGAAAAAATCATTTAGCTTTTCGTAAATATGAAAAAAAACGTACGAGTATATGGAGAATTTTTTTTTAATTTTAAATAAAGCGTTAAGATACACACACACAACACACACACACACAACATATCATAAAAAAATTCTAATTATAAATTATAATTAGAAAAATTATAATAATTAGAAAATTTAAAAATTTAAAATTTAAAATTTAAAATTAGAAAAATTTAAAATTTAAAATTAGAAAAATTATAAATTTAAGAAAAATAAAAAATTTAAAATTTAAAATTAGAAAAATTATAATAGAATATAATAGATTATATTTCTGTTATTCTAATTACAATAGAATATAATAGAAAAATTATAATAGAAAAATAAATCTGGCGCAGATTATTGAAAATAATTACACTTTTTTTAATTATAAAATAAAAAAAACATTTAAAAAATAAATTTAGTAATTTATGTTTTAAATATTTTTTGATTATAATGATTTCTCAAAAATATATACAGTATATCTTTTTCCATAATATATTTTATTGCACTCTATATTATGCTATTCTCTATATTTATATTTGCATAAATTTATTCACGTTATATCGTAAAATATTTTTTAAATATTGTACATTATAATTTTTTGTACACTTGCACATACAGGAGAGTTATTATATTTGTTATATTTTTTTATTATCAAATTTACGTGTCAATTGTCACCATTATAATGAATAACTCATAATTAATCATATTCAGCACCGATGGTAATGCTCATATCTTTGGAAACGATTTTTGTCTGGTGATACCATCGATTCGTATCCAAAATGACTGCAATTGAAAAGTACAATGTATTGATGTAAATTGTAAAAGATTGAAAATGAAATAGTTTTACGAATATTTTTAAAGATTAAATTAAAATTTGTTTTTAGTCAAGATATAATTAAAATTGATAAATATTTAATATCGATTTAGAGTGTAACAAAGATGCGGATAGCGTGCATGTTCTTTATTTATTATTAGTATTAAATGATAAATTTTCAATGCACACATTAAAATTGAACGCGACTTTTAATTAGAAGGCTGTATTTAACAATGAATTCTGCAATTAATTTGGTCATTACTTATATTAGCGTTCATCAAATGGCTTACTTATTTCTCCTGAATGCACGATTACTTCCAGTCTCTTGCAAGTATAGTGACATTCTCTTGGCGGTTCCAAAATCCACAATTTTTCACCTTTTATCTGTGCTTGCCAAGAGGGATGCTCTACATCATCCACCTTGGCAAGAAAATTTTATATTCTCAAAATATATGACTATGACTATAATTATATATACAAAATTTATACATTTAATATATCTATAAATATAAATATATTTATAAAAAGATAATTTTTGCAAAAATTAAAAAAAAATTGAATTAATATGTAAATATCTCTGATTGAATAATATATGTGTGTGTTGAAATAATATATGTGAGTGTGCTGAAATTACCTTATATATAATACGAAATTTATGAGATAATAATGTTTTTTTATTAAATATTGTCATCAAATAAATATTGCCATTTTATTAAATATTATTATTAATAAGGAAAATCTTATAATAGAACGTATCTTTCGTTAACAAAATTTTTGCAAATTATCAAATGAGAAAGATCTCCTAATAATTATTATTTTTTATTACAGACTTACATGCATCGGTGCACCGTAGCCATGACTTCCCATAAAAATCCAATCCGTTTTCTCACTTTCGGCAGTGGCTGGGAGAAAATATGGTCTTTGATAATGCTGACGCAATATTGCACCGATTTTCTCATCGCAGTTGCTCCTGAGAGGAAAAAAGAGAAGCAGATATATTTATGAAAAATTAAATATATAATTTTTTATTCTCTCATTTAAAAAAAATAATTTTGCCAAGTCAAGTTGGTCAGGTTAACGATACATTTTTTATCAAAAATTTTATGTGAATAGAGTTTTACGATTATTGTGTACGTTGTTATAAATATAACTTTTTCTGTAAGCTTAGTTTTTGAATGGAATTGTACGTGTGTATTAATGATTTAAAAAAATATCGGAAAATACATTATATTCTCGTTAATAAAATATATATGATTTTTCAAGCATCAAAATTTGAATTTGTTTTTTTTTACTTGTATGAAAAAATGAATATCCAATTAATATTAACGCAATTATTTTTTTCTCTTATTTTTTGCATTTTGATAGATATCTTAAGTAATAAATAAAAAAGATAATTAATGTAAAGTTATTTGAAACAAAAAGAATTATTCAGAAAATAAAAACAAAATAAGCATTTATATATATATACTTATCTCGATAATTTTATTAATATTTAATAAATGGGATATCTTGGAATTACAATCGCGCGGAATTACAATCGCGCGGAATTACAATATCTTGGAATTACAATCGCGCGGAGTTCACTTGACAAAACTGTCACTTTTGATGCGATATATTTTGTATATACCTGTAATATTATGATTGCCCGATATTTTTCTCGGTATCTTTGAAACTAGACGTGTATTTGCAAGCAAATTTATTCTGAATAACTTAATTTCTCGATTGTTATTAATACTTATTCTAATATTACCTGAGAGAAGCTACGGTTGCGTGGAGAGTTTACTTGATGAAACTGTCATAACTTTGCACTATCGATGTGATGTATTATACTTATGCGTAATAAAATTATCACTCCCGATGTTTTTCGACACTCCCGACACTTTTCTCGACGTTACCGATATATTACACGTTTATTTATACCGATTAATAAATTATTTACATACGATTAATAATTATAACCTAAAATCTTTGATGTAACGAGACAAGTGCGCGATATACATATTTAAAATCGTTTCGTGATACAATTATAATACTATGATAATAATTATAGCGATAGTTATTATAAATTGATTCCGTTTTTTCGACACTCACGATACTGATTCACATTCGATCGATTATATCTTCGCCACAAGTATTTCGACGCCACTAATAATTGCGCGGGAAGACCATTAAATATCTCAATTTCCGTTCTGTTCCGTTCGGCTAGGAATTTTGTATTATACATGCGAATTAAATATAGCTGTCATCCATTTATGCCAATTATCAATGATACTGAAATGATACTGAGCGAGGAAAAAAGGATATTCAAATATATTATTATATAATATAAAATATATATAATATATAATATATATAAAATGTATATAATATATAATATAAAATGTTATTGTGTCACGTATCTTTAAATGGATCTCTCTCTCTTTCTCCCCTTCTCCCCCCCTCTCTCTCTCTCTCCCTGTAACAATTCTTAACGTATGTTATAAATAAAGGGGTCGAAAATTCCTTCCCTTCTTCTTCGCGTATTGTAAACATTCTTTCAAATAATTTTTGCTCAGTATTATTTCGACTATCGTCAGATTTACTCGGAACTTTTCGCAGTTTCCATTCATGTTATACACGATCTATACATTATCAAGAGTAATAAATTTAATCTAACGAATATTATAACGTGATTATTAATAACAGTGACGGAAATTATTCTTTGTTCGATATACATGCGCGTAATGTCACTTTTATATGATATATACATATGCGTTCGATATAATATAATAATATAATAAATTTTACCTCGTTGCGATGTATTATATTAGACGGAGCTTTAATCATTGTTCGCGCTACCGTGTATTGTAAACAAAGCAAGAGCCGTGTTCGAGAATTTCTCCTCTCCTTCCTCATATTTATATATCTACATAAACTTTCTCGCAAGTACTTTTTAGTATCATCGCGACGTTCGTTCCGAAATTTTCGCAATTTTCACGCGATCTGTGTCAAAAATGACAAATCAATTATCTAATAAATTAATTGGTTCACGCGATTGTTAAACTAGTGATAAAAATTATCCGCGTCCTTTTCGCATTTAATAAGAACACGCCCGAGTATTTCACACCCTACGGTTGGCACGAATGAATGACGATAATTTTTAATTCGTGTAGTACAAATGGAATCGTGGAATCGGACCACTGTTCGGAACGGAAGTGAAGTTGTCTCCGCGTCCATAATGTATTTCGTGCGATTATTCACGACGCTTCTTGTGCAAACATAATCGGGATCGATCATCGTCCATCGTAATTAATATACCGTGATCGTTAACCAGAATTATATTGTGGTTCGATATTAAATTACTTATGTTGTCAAGGATTGAAGTCGAGTAAGAATAAATATCATATCCGGTATCAAAAGACCGAGAGAATTATCAGGTATTATGTTTTATCGTACAAGTGCAAAAATATTTCAAAATTCTGCTCAATCATAACACTATCGTAAAATTATCGAGAATAAATATTGCAAATAAGCAAGTAAAACAAATATCGGGCCATTGTGTATTATACGTATCTTCCTACAATCGTAAAAATTTGCCAAGTAAATCTCGCGATTTCGAATTCATTATGTCGAACTTGTGGCGACAAATATTTCCGTCAATTTTATTAAAACATTAATGATACGCAATTAAAGATATCTAAGGAGTACGGAAGATCGATATTAAAATGTACGCGACGCTACAGTTGTTTCTGGAAAACTGTTTCCTTGCGCGATATCTTTTAGTTTTTTATCCGCATTCCCGAACTTTTTTCACGCGTGACGTAGGCGTGACGTCACGCGTCACGCGCTTCCCCCACTTTCCTCGCGCGCCCTTCACGGCAGTTCGCTAGCGTATCTCTTGCCGAAATCACGTCGTAGTAATAATAAATTATTAGTGTGCGTGCCGCGTTAAAACGATGAGCCGAATTCCGCGTACGTTGATTAGAAATATCATCGCGATCGATAACTCGATATATCCGTAAATATCGCGTATCATTTAATGAACGAAATATTCGTCAAAATTGAGTTATATCGCGGAAGATAAAGGTTACGTTTCGCGAGTGGCGCAGTGACGCGCGATTTGAATTTTTTCCTTTTATTCCGTCGCGCATCGTCGAGATTATGTAAAATAATTATATTATAATAAATAATAATAATTATATAATTTAAAAATTCGCAAAAAAAGTGCGCGGGTGCGTAATAAATATGGTGCCGGTAGTGCCGTGAATATTAACGAGCGAGTGTTGTGATAATGAAGGGAATTTCGTCCCCCGAAAGACAGTAATTCCGATCAATGACGTCATTGCAACTGGTGAGTATTTGTCATATATTTTTGCGACGAAAATTGTTGGTTTAATCGACAATATGATATAATTGCGTTTGTGTAATTTTGCGCTTTGACATTCGCCTCGCGTTCTCGATGAATTAAAAATGATGGGAAATAAAAAATTACGAATATCATCCGAATAAAATGTTATTTATTTCAATCTTGTTTCTATTAATTGTATCGTTATTTTAAATTAATATTTTCAATAATTATGCTTGCAGGCCGTTCTACAGGGGAATGCTGCAACAGCGATGAGCGAGTGATCGGTGAGTGAATTTATATTTTATATTTACATTTGCACAACTAATTATTTTGTCCGCAATTTTTTTATATCGTTGCAAATGTAACAAATTTTCGTCAATGAAATCAGTAATTATTATAAAATTGTTTAAAAATGAATGAAATGATGAATATTTATTTTTTTATAAATATTGTAGATCATTAAAATTCTTTATTAATTTGTTAAAATTGAAAAAAATTTATTATTCCATCCTCTATTTCTTTGTAACTTTTAAATTTTTATTTATTATTTCCTAATTACTGGTTTCAAGGAAAATATTTTATTGACGTTTTATTTTAATTTATCGATATTATCTTAATGTTTTATCACATATTGGCAAATCAATATCATTATCGTATTTATTCCGTTCAATTTAATTTCGTCCGATATGTGAAATTAAAATCGAGCCACACATTTAGCGTTAATCCTTGGATTCATAATGCCATCAATAAAAATGTGCAAAAATTTAAATTCCATTGATATAAATAGAAAAATGACTTTAATTCTTTTGTATTGATTATGGTCGAAGAAAAAATAGTTTAAAGTAGTTTTTTTTAAATTGTCTAAAAAAAAAATCATTTGGGAGATTGAAAATTTATGTGAATATCATAAGAAAATATTGCAAAATCTCAAAGGTCTGTTTTTATTTATCCAAGGATTAATTGTTACTTTTCTAAATTACTTACCACCCAACATACCAAGGCTCTGTGCCCTTTTCCATTGTGGCTCGACTTGCGTTCATGTCGAAGACATCCTGTAGATTCTTAAATTCCGTCTTGTATGGGAAAAATTGGCAATTTGCTTCCTTTTTGTAATATAGCGTTTTAAAAAATGAGAAAGAAAATACTTTAGACGCCGTCCAATTTGCCATAGCATCGTTTATCACCACTGGTTTCCCTGAATACGCGTAGCTGATCACAAATAAAGTGTAGTCGTGAAGAAAAGTATTAGTCGCGAAATTAATTAGTACGAAAATAATCACTAACACACACATGCGCGAATGCGCGTATAAATAAAATTCCTTATAAAAAAAGTAGTAAAATAAATCAGATGCATATAAACCAAATTAAATCAATTTTTAGAAAATATTAATGACGTTAATATAATTAAAATAATTATTATTACGTAGACGAATTCTTTTAAATAGTTTAAAAGCAACCTGAATTAATTAATAATAAATTCTTAATATATTTGAGTATTTTTATAAATCAATAAATACGTTAAAAACAGATAGATTTTTGTAAATAATAAATGTTATCTTTAGAAAAATTTTGGCACATTGCTGTTATTATTGTTAATAAATTAATCGGTTAAAAATAAATGGCTTTCATTTCAAAGTGTTACTGAGATGAAATAATTTTTAAAATGAGATAAAATTACGTAAAAATTACTGGTTATACCGTTGCTCAAAGATCGTTGGATCAACGGCGGAAAGCTTGTCAACCTGTTGAATGTCCTGGCAGATCGAACAATCTTCTGGCGGTCGGAAAACTTTTTGCGTAAACCAGGGCATCGTTATCAAACACTAAAACAATGATTATCTAACTTGCTGAAATTTGAATAAGCATGACAACGAAATATAATTCTTAAAATAAAATTTTTCATTTAATTCAAACTTTAATTCTCAATCGAATTTCGAAGAGATTTCAGATGATTATCTTAATTTATTTATATTATAAATGAAGAATGATACTGTTATAATTCGTAAATTATAATAGGACTTGTAATATCAAATGGAAAAATTATATTTACAGATATAACTTGGAGAATTTTTATTATAAAAGATACGCGTATGTGTGTGTGTACATGTGTAGCATGGAAATGTGAAATATCAGATAATGTGAAGTTTTTCTCACCTTATTATGTCGATATGTCTGAATGCGATTCTGAACGACTTGCACCGTTATCCATGTGATCAGCAAAATCCACAGGTGCCTCGCGCGAAGTTTCATTGGTTTCATTGTTTTTGTTGGTTTTAATCGCGAATGGACTCGAAGCAATCTCCATGCTTTAATTGAAGGCCTCATCTCGTTCATTTTTCCCAATATTGCGCGCAATTCCTTCTTCGCGAAGTCTACGGATTTTTTGGGGCAGTCTGCGACGATCTCATTATCATTTGCCATAACGAAGATTCAACAATTCTGATAATCATTGGAAAAATTAATCATACGCGAGTCGCGAAGCGCAGATTGTTCCTTGAATCTTAATTTATTTAACATTAATTTTAATAGTTTTCTAATACAGATCTAATCGATTTATACAGTTAGTTATTTACAATACGTTAATTTAATTAGTTTAAACATTTAAGAAAAGAAATTATAATATACCTTGTTGCTTCGAATAAAATTGAAACACTCCAACTCGCGCTTAAACGATGTGTCCACGATACTTGCAGCCTAAATATTTTTTTTTTTTTTACGCAATTATAACAATTACGATTATTCCGGAAGTACCGATACTCTTGATGGCCGGTGTAAAACTGCGAACAGGATCCTTACCTACTGCTCCAGTGAGCCAAGAATCCCCTCTCGTATTCGCCTCGCATGGGGGTGGAACGATAGCGAGTGATTTGTTCACACGGGTGTGAAACGAGAATCGGTGTCCACGATACGAACCACCGATTGGTTTCGATCGAATCTGTTTAAAGCGATAGAGGAAGCAGTTATTTCGCCAATGTTTAACCCGCTTCTCTCTTATTCAATTCTACTTTTACAAGAAATTCTGGAATTTCTAGAAATTTTGTTGAACGTTCATTTATTTGGTGCAGAAAGATATTTAAAAAAATCTAAGCAATAAATTTGTCTTTACTTAATTTCACTTATGATAAAAGTAAATAAAAATTTAATGCAAAGGAATTTAAAAAGAATTAGAAATAATAAGTAGAGAAATAATAAAAAGATCGAATTTAAAAGGAAAGATTAATCTCGCCGATTAATTAATATCGTTATCGTTCTGGCTGGGCGATCAAAATTTATCTGGGAGATAGAGGAAGAAAGAAAGAAAGAAAAAAATATTAAGTCTAATGGAATTATGGGATATAAATGTGACGCGTTTCATGGGGAATATGACGTGGGCGAGACGCCTCTTATCTCGGAGTGCAGCTGGTCCTGCTCATCGAAGTGTATAGACTTCGCCGACTTAAAATACGATCGACCTACTTCACATTATTGCTTATACTTTGCAACTTTCCGAACGACACAGAAACTTCACTTACTCGCAAAAAATTCCGCAGAAAAATATTTGCTTTATTCATATACATACATACATATATATATATATATATATATATATATATATATATATGTATATGTGTGTGTATGTGTAAGAAAAGAAATATATTTATGTACTTTAAAAAATACTTTTATTGAGTATTTATTTTCTTATTTCATAAAAAGAAAAATTAAAAGAGAGTTTATAAATTACAGTAAATTAATGTATAAAATATTCTTATAGAATATTTCTATATAACTTTTATACATTAATTTACTGTAATTTATAAACTCTCTTTTAATTTTTCTTTTTATGAAATAAGAAAATAAATACTCAATCAAAGTATTTTTAAAGTAAAAAATGGCATTCATAAAATATTTATTTATGTAATACATGTTTTTACAATTTTTAATTCAATAATGTGGACAAATTTTATTGCGCGTTCCTTCAGTTTGCGTCCCGAAAGTTTTAACTATAGAAACACGTCGTAGATTTATCTATCGGTCTGGCCGTACTTCGATGAAACTTTTCTTCGAAATTCGTTTTTCCGCACACGTGGAGATGGGACATGCGAAACAATTTCTATGCGATTGGAAACAAGCGAGTGAGATTCGCCTGATCGGGCGATACGAACGAGATGAGATTACATGTGAGGAACGGATTTTACAATTGCAAATTGTCAATCCGCACGGCAATTCGCGTCTTAATTAACAATTAGCCCCGCGCCGAACTCGTTCCGTACGCGAGTTCGCCTTTTATGGCACACAACTGAATAAAAAACCGCGCATCTGCCCTTACGTCTTTTTCTCTTTATTTTTTTCTCGTGCAAAAAGTGCGCGATGAGCAATTCGCTCGCGAATTTCGTTATCTCGGCGACGAGGGTACTCGCCCGGACACGCAATAAAAATCGCAATCGAAGGGACGAAAGTCAAAAATGCGATTACGTGCCCTCTCTGCGAACATTTAATCCCTTAGACTGCGCTCGTCTCTTCGGTTTCTGACGAAAATACATATTTCCCCAACGAGCTTCAATCATTTAAGCACACAATTCTTTGGCGAATTTTTTAGCTATTTTTCATTCTATTTAGTTTAAAAGCTAGAAACTTTTTCTATACATTTCGTATTCATTGTAGTCGTTTATTAAAAAGAAACGATTAAGATCAACTTTTGTTAAAAAATACCAGGAATTTATTTCGAAAATAAAAAATATTAAAATATTAAAAAAATGCAAATCTTTATAAATAAATGTGTTTTTCCTTTTTTATTTATAATAAATGCTGTATAGGAGGATAGGAGACAAGAAAGATTGGAGTATATAAAGAGACGTACACATACGTGTCAGCGCAATTTAATTTTTTAATTGTTGTCAGTCGGATTTGAAATACACTAGTCGATTTTTATTATAATTATTATTGTATATACGTGAAACTCTTTCGAGAGGTATAAATAATACAACGATAAAAGAATGACAATATATGCTGCCTTTTCTTTTTTTTTCACACAATCGTCTCTTAAAAATTATACATATTACAATTCGCCTGAGTATTGCATACTCAATCGAATTGCGCGTGAAATACATGAATAAAATTATAGCGATAATTTTTAACTTAGCGAGTTTTTCCGGGGGATGAGGCGAGGGAGAGGTTTATTTTCTCTTTCTTTTTTTCAATCTTGCAATTTTTTGCTTCTCTGTTATCAGAAGCATAAAACTATATCGATAATAATAATGATAGATCGATCGATGACAGCTGAGATTAATCCTGACATTTAATTAAAACACATCGACAATCAGGACACAATATCCTATAATAACGATTCTTTACGATATCTACTACTATACAAGGGCGCTATAGAACACATAACGTCATCAACTGTACATTTACGTCAATTAAAATACTCGAAATCATCTAGTTGTATTAAAAACAATTCATATTTCATTAGTTTTTTAAAAATATGTAAATCTTGGAATTTTTTAATTTTTTGGTCTGTGATTTTCGGAATCTTTATTTTCTCAAAACTTATATGTAGAGATTTTGTAAAAATTTTAAAGTTTTGTTAAAAATTTTCAAATCTAAAAATTCTTAATTTACACATTTTTGTGTGTAAATTAGATTTTTTCGAACTTAATGTACTGTCGATTTAAAGATTGAGATCAAATTTGGAGATTTATAAATTTTGAATGATTTTATATTTATATTTTATAAATTTTTTTATATTCCATGTATCTCTTCAAAATATTTTCAATCTATTCTCGATCTTAAAAATTGATGAATCTCGAGCATTTTAATTCTTGAATTCTTGTTTTATATTTGTATAACATAATTATAATGATAATTTGCGTCGCAAGAAGATATTGTGCGATATTTTTCTTGACGACCATAATAAATATAACGTACAATCTATATATATATATGACTATGGAAGATGGATGATCCTGATTATCGTGTGTATTCTTTCAAATTCGCGTACAATTAATCCTCTCCCTCCGCATCCCTGCGCATCATCGCCTGTTTCAATTAATGCTAAACGCGTGATGGGAAGGGGGAGGGTGAAGGTTTTCTAATACATCTAAGATGCACACCCATGCTTATTTAATGCTCCGTTAATTTAAATACGTATGCAGCACAGTAGACTATCATTTCTTCTATTCGTTAATGCGCGTGTTACATGTGTGTAATGGTATGTGTGTCGGTACGATTTTTTTTTTATCTTCGCCCCTTTCCTCCATCCTTCTCTTTTTCTTCTCGTTTTCTCTTTGAGCTTAAGTGACCCCGGATCGGATCGTGTGTGTCGAGCTATTTAAAAATCATTCTTCTTATGTCGCAATTTTTTTTATCTTAAATCGACAATGCATTGATCGAGGCCGGCAGCCTTTTTATGTATCGCATATAAGAATCCTTATTAGATACCAGACGAGATATATACGGTCCTTCGTCCTGTCTGTTCATGTTTAGTGTCTAAAATAGTGATCGAAATCGGTATAATCTCCGCAAGATCAGATTTCCTCCGTAATAGAAAATGATCTCTGCGATCTCTTATTCGAAACGTTGGCAAATCTATCCGTTATTTATAACATTGGAAATTGAGTCAACTCTTCGAGATTACGACGATCGCGATTCTTCTAATCTTTAATTCCGATCCAGGCTCCAAGGAAAAGTGATAATGATCGCTCAGGACTTGTTCTTTTTTTTTTCTTTTCTTTTAATGCTATCAGTCTTTCAAACCGCCAGCGATTGACAGCTATCGCAATCGGTAGATGTATGGAATGAGTCGATCGAAAAAAAAAAAAAAAAAAAACGGAACGTTGTAGCTCGAAACGTGTTATTTTGTGAAAAATGTGTGGAAAGAAAATGTAGAAAAAATCCGGATAAAAAACAGATAATTTTTCTGTTGGAAAAATTCCTGCAAACATTTAAATGTTCCTCTTTTTTTTAGGCCGACGATTTCTTGAGCGGAATTGATCAGAGTTCCGCGCGATCTTCGATGTAATTATTTAAATAAAAAATAATACTAATTATTTTCTACAAACGGCTGCGTGCTTGGTGTCGAAACTCGAAGCGACATATATAATTGCGATAGACGTTCGCGGCTTAATTAATTAGGTCGTTATTTCGAGAGATGTCAGAAATCGACATCGCGCGGAACTCAACTTTGATTCCTCCCCGCGCGATTAAAGTTTGCTGAAATAACAAGAATCACACACAGGCAATCGAATCGATACGTATGGCTGAATGATCCTGAGAAATAGATAGGTGAAAGAAATAGATATCGATGTCCCAAATTTGTCAAAATCGATGGGGACAAATTTGGGAATAATTTGGACAATTTATGCGAAAAATTGTATCTCATCTTTTGTTATAAATACATTTGAACATCATGTTTTACTGACAATTATTAATGTGAATTAATTTGATAATGAAATTTCCAAATTAAAAAATTTTTCCGAAAATTACCAAAATATATAAACGACAAATGTTTCTTAAATTTCATAATATTATTGTTATAAAAGTTACATAATAACTCATAAGATATATTTTTTAAATAATAATAACAAAAAAATTTGTAACAATTAAAATTGAAAGAGAAATATAAGATGAGATACTGCGCATATCACCTTTTTTTCTTGCTAGAAATCGATATTAAAATTTAATCGCATTGAGAAACGAGCGTACAAAAATGGACTATTTTGCTCATGAAGTTCCATAAGAACTACAGGCAACATTGAATCGCAATATTTACAATCGATGAGATTATCGAAGATAAAACGATTATGCGTATATAATATACATGAATAAAACATGTATCCTCATGATAATAATTTTGCACTCGATAATAATGATAGATGTGATG